GTTAATTCCTGTTTATTTGAATTACATCACCAAACGTATCCATACAAATCAATTCTCGGTCTTTTACTTCCTTCTCAATTCATTCCCACTAATGCACGTGATGCCATATTACCATGTTTAACATATTACGGATACCAAACCCACATTATCAATTCGTTCTCGTCATCTAACCTATACGGGGTTTTATGCATTTTCATACCACTCCCACAATGTTTTCCCTCAATGAGGGGCCATCACCATTGACTAGTATTAGTCGGGCCACTAATTTTCTTTTGCACGTGGGCACACTTCCTCGGTTAGTTTCGGTGACTCTTATCGTTTCACTTGATTTACGTGGCTGTTGATTCTAAGTGTTGATTTATGGCATACCAAGGTAAAATTATGTTCTAATATGAATTGAGCCGCTAATGGATCTAGGTTTTGATTCCAGTTTTTTTTTTTTTTTTTTGGCTAGGCCGAATGGTCCTAAAAGTAGCCTAAGGTTTCTCTTTCATTTTTATTAAATATCTTCCACTCTCACTTACTATTTCGCACTTAATTGGGTTACTAGTGGGTTGTAGGCTTTAAAGTTCATGCGAAAATCCAATTGTGCTCACTTTGGGATTCCTAGGCCAAATGGGTCTTTAAGAAAACCCTAAGCATTCCTTTGTTTCCCTTCCAATTTATTCATCCCAATATTCAGTCCAAGCCCTTAAATTTTAGCCCACAATCATCAACACATGATGAAACATACACTAGGCATGATAAACTTTAATGAACACACAAATACAATATAACAACTAAATCCAAACCAAGCCATCCACACACCAACCCAATACAAGCCAAACCTTAACAATACAAACAATAGCTTAACTAAATACATGAATTAAACCCATAAAAGGAACTTAACTATGAAGTAAAACCCACTTACTTAGCTTAGATGTGGTTAGAGTTCCTTAGCTTTTCTTTATTTCTTTTCTTTTCCCTTCCTTTTTCTTTCTCTCTTTCTTGCCGTTTTTCTCTCCCAAATTTAGTGGCTACGGGTTGCTAAAAATTTCTTATCATCTTCCCACTTTCTTAATATATATATATATATATATACACTAACTTTTCTTTGTTATTAAATTAGATTACAAGTGGCTTGTTTTAATTTAACAAGGTGGAAAGTGAATTGGGTGTTGTAAAGGCAAGTGGCGGGTTTGAGAGAAAAAAAAATGAGTTGGCTTAATGCATTAATTTAGGGTGCTAGGTGTCCTAACTAAATGGTTAAGCTAACTAGACACCCTAACTAACCTAGCTCAAGTAACTAAACATCTCTACCCGTCACAATTTTCAGAATTTCCTCACCCTAAATTCGAAATTCCTTTCTCTAAAAAAATTTCAACGAGTGGTACATTCAAAACGAGTTTATACTAAAATGAGCATAACCTTTTATATATAAACCTAATAATAACAAAATGTTACAGAGATTTAGTTGAGATATAGATCAACAATTTTTATTTTTTAAGTTTTACCCAGAAATCACTCGTAAGGTCCATGAATAGGTCTCACAAAATTCGGACAGAATCTAATTCTCAAAAACCTCTAAAATTCAAAAATTTTCTCCTTAAACCATTTGGCCATTTTCTTGTAAAATTCAGCATTCCCAAAATTTTAAAACACATTCTCCACTTGTTTAATATGTTTCAAATACTTAGGAATAAATAAATGATAATTAAAATTATCCAAACCTTTCACCTAAAAATCTCCACACAAGCACCCAAACACATTAGCATCAAAATATTAAAATGGCATACACAATTACTCCACTTAGTATATATATATATATATATATATGGATATTTCGACCTATATATATTGATTCATAATTAAGGATTTTACTTGGAGTTATAGTCAAGCTATGTGACCATGGCCTTGACGAGTTATGACGAGCCAAACAGCTAATGTACATGGATGCAACATCTAATGTGTAAGAGGAATAATTACGAGATGATAAATTATAAAGAGAAGAGTGGCTACCGGTATTGAAGTTGCTAGTGTTGTAGCATTCGAGTATAGTTACCACGCCCTCTTTGTCCCTTACCACAAAAGAAGCTCGCCATCACATGAGGAAAAGTAGGTCGTAGGAGCGAGAGATGGCGTCATGTATAGAGGTCTCCGGATGAAGGTATTGAACCTTGCTCAATAGCAACCCAAATAAATCATCATATGAAATTACAGCAAGGCAATTCTCCACGAACGAACAAAAGGATGATAGGCACTACTAAGTCTAGCCATAATGGCATCAACGAGATCATCCGTTGAAACTAGACTACCAAATGCAACCAATTGATCGGCTAAATATTTGGCCTTTTGCATATAGGATAAAATATCGAAGTAGTATGATAAAGACGCATAATTTGGGCTTTAAGTAAGCATATTCTCAAAGACGATTTAGTTGAGGACAAACCGATCTTGATAATACTAGCTTTTATGATCCGGGTTAATGGAATTGTCATCTAACGAGCAAGAAGAATTGCTTTTGTTCCATCAATATGATGGATGAGATTGTGACCTCTTAAAAGAGGTAGGATATTTGTCCGCCATAGAAGAAAATTAGAGGAACTTAATTTGATAGTTGTTCGGTAGGATAGATGTGGGGCGGAAATAGTTGCAAGTATGTTTGACATAGGGACATTAGACATACAAGTTGTGGAGGAAGATGAAATTGGCGTAATAGTTTCGACATTGCGAGGACAAATATTCGACTACTATGCCTATTGAAGCTTTGATACCAAGAAAAGGTTTATTATCGAGTGAATTCAACACACTTATATATATATATTACTTGGTTATTGTATGACTCCAAAAGATAAGTATAAGTACGGAGTTCTAACCTAATCATAATTCAGTTATATATTACAATCCTATCAATTTTTGTAACAAGTTTTTTGGGGTCTCACATGCTATATAATAAATTCGAAAAAGAAAAAATTCCAAGTTTTAGATATATCTCCTTCTTTGAAAGGATATGAATACAAAGGAAATTAAAAAAATACAAATAAAAAATGGGTTTTTTTCTACATTTAGACCTTCTATTTTTTGAATTTTTTTTAGGAAGACCTTTGATTTTTTTTAATTATTTTTTTAGCTTGATTGAAATCATCTACTCTTCAAAATTTTTATTTTAAACCCTTTATTACAACAAAACCAATTAGTGATCGACACGTGACAAGTATAAAGTAAGAGATTTCAAAAAAATATGGATTATTGATTGTTAGAATTATAAAAAAGGATCCAAAATAAGAAATCTCAAAAAATAAAAGGCCTCAATCAAGTAAAACAAAAAAGAATCTCCATTAAAAAAAATAATTAAAGAATACGATATCTAAATATAGAGAAACTCAATAAAAAATTAGCATTTATAAATTATTATTAGAATCTTTAGCTAATAAATTTCTTAAACCCGAGTTTGTATGTCTCCATATTTTTTTATTTGGATTATAATCCTAAGTGATAAACTATATTCATGTAATAGTTTTCGAGCATCACGATAAAAATATATCACTAGATTAAGAAGAAAAAAATACAAGATTTTTTTAGTCTTGTTGATTGTAAGCTATAAAGAGACTTTCGTAAATTCCCCTTTAGCATGAGGATCATAAAGATGCAAAGAAAGTAAACAATTCTTGTTAACAAAGAGTGATAATCCTTTCATCAAAAGAAAAAGAAAAAGAAAAAGAAAAAGAAAGAAAGAAAGAAAGAAGACAAGTGATAACCCATGAAGTCATCTTTAGCACATATTTGTTTGATCCAATGTTTCGAAGAAAACATAAGTCTTAGTTGGTGTTTGATAAAGCCGAAAACTAAGTATCGAATATGTTAAACACAAAATTTTAAGTGTTGAATAATTAAGTACCGAATATGTTTCGATAAACTATTTGGTATTTACTAAAAATTAAGTGTTGAATATAATAAAGTTATTTGATAAGTATCGTTGTTGAACATATTAAGGCTATATACATGATAATTTTAACCTTGTAATTATAACATAATATTTTTTCATATAAATAAAAATATATACATAGTTGTGTTTGTGTGAATAAATAAATAAATAAAATAATTATTAATAAAAAAAATTAAACACGGTCTAAGGTAGCATTAATTGTCGTATCATGCATAAAATAAATAAAATCTCAAGTACTAATCAATTCAATTGCAATTTGATCTCGCAAATTAATCATAAATGTTTGATCGGCTCGTGCTTGCCCCTCCTCTAATGAATGATAAATTTACGAGCAGTATTTGGTATTTGATGTATCACATAATCGCCATCAAATTATTTAAAAATGTTTTCAATAACAATTGTTATTTGAAAATAATTATGTATTACAACACATGCAACAACAATATCTCTTTAAACTACAAATGGCTAAACTACAAATGGATATAGGGGCCATTGCCTTTAGAATTGAAAATCTTGCTTTTAGAATACCAAATGCTCGTTCAATAACATTCCTCAATTTTGCATGTGCATGATTAAATGCTTCTTCTTTTGATTTTGGATGATAACTATTGTGAAAATCGGATTCCTAATATTGTGTAATACGATATGGTGCCATAAACTCTCTAATATGAGGATATGCGGCATCACAAAAATAATATTTATCTATTATCAAATATTAATCTAATAAATTGCATGAGAAATGTAAAAATTATTGACATAATATACCTCGTAATAACGAAAAAAAAAAAACTTGAAGGGAATTTTCTATAAAAAGAATTTAATAAGAATGAAAATAACCTACCGAGTAGAGCAATGGGAGAATTATTTGAAGATACACTCTCTTTTTGCACATTACTCAATCCCAAGGTTCTTTGTCGGCATCACAATGAAATCATAGACTTTCTGTGGATCTTGAAGAGACTTGGATTAGACTCTTTTGCAAGCACCTCTTACGGTAAGCAATCAACTTGAGACACTCGACCTTTAAATTACTAGCTTGAGACACTCGGCCTCTATGTTGAAGTTGCTGATAGTCTCATAAGCATAAAACCAACAATAAGAAAGGAGCAAATGCTACATCAACGTAGCCAATGGTCTCACTCCCAAAAGAAGGCTTGTCTCCAAGCTCTTCTTCTAACAACTTGAGGTAGTCAATTAAATCCTTCTTGGCTACCTCCGGATCTTCTCCTTTTGTTGTCCATATCTTCCTACCAAGGTCATATATATGTAGATTCATATCCCACCATTGTAAAACAAATCATTATAGATGGTAACCAAGCATAGATTCTTAGAATCATAAAGGTCGAAGGTGGTCCCAAGAACAAAGTCTTCACTAAAACTTTCTTGTTGACTACGGTAATTAATATCTTTCTAAAGAATACAACAAATTCGGAAAAGCAAAACCAATCACCGTTACGGAAGGTGGAAATTAAAAGATCGCTAATTTAGATCAAAGATGTCGTCTAACATCTTTCAATTTTCTACGTTAAAAGTGACTAATAAAAAAGTAGAGATCGTTTTTCAATTAGTTTGTATAGCTAGAGTTATAAGAATATATGAGAGCTATATAGTCATATTTGAAAAGTTTTAAAAATATTTTAACCGAGGATGTTAAGTGATGTTTGATAAAACTGAAAATTAAATATTGACTATGTTAAGTACTCGAATTTTAAGTGTTGAATAATTAAATAATGAATATGTTGCTAATAAGTCTGTTTGGTCTTTACTAAAAATTAAGTACTCGAATATAATAAGGTTGTTTGATAAATACCGTTGCTTGAACATATTAAGACTATATACAAGATAATTTTAAACTTATAATTGTAACATGATATTTTTTAGCACAAATAAAAATTTATATATAGATGTGTTTGTGTGTATAAATAAATAAAATTAAAGGAAAACATGAAGGCAATTAAGGATCCAAACAAGCCTAAGAGGCCTGGCAGTGCATTCTTAGTCTTCATGGAGGAGTTTACAGAGCAGTACAAGAATGAGCACCCCAAACAAGCCAAATTTGCCATTTGAACTAAGGAGAGTGCCTTAAAAGTAAAAGAGAACATGAACTAGACTTTATCCAGCAAAGATTTTACCTTTAACCAAAATCCAGAAACTAAAACAACTTAAGCTACAAAAAGAATCAGTCTTTAACTCTAATTAATTACGTACATACGTACATACATTTCTCTCACTAATTAATACTTTCAAAGAACAATTTATATTATATACTACTACTAGCTCCAGACTTCTATATATTCTGACTTAGCAGAATTAATGATAAGATGATGAGGCCTGCACATGTCTAGAATTAATTCCAATCGCATGCTTATTGCTAATATATCACATCTTTTCCCTTCACCTTTAGCAGCATGGAATAATGAATTTCCATATAGCAGCTGAGGCTCCCTCGCTACTTTTCATGCCTGATATTGAAGAAACTTTTGCCCTCGGCTAGTATATGTTAAAGAAGCTGCATATATGTTGATGCTTAATGAAAGATTGCGTACAAGTTATGGTAGCTAATGATGCAGATTCCAATCCTTGCGGGATTTACTATTATATCTATTTCATTATTTATTTTTTTTGTCATTCTTTTGATGAAGATGATGAGGAGGGCAGTGCAGAGGAGGAGGATGAGTAGGACTTGTACCTGGAGAATAGCATAGTCACGTAGGTTGCAACATGTTTGGACATTTGATAGTATTTGCAAGTTAATTTTTTGTTTTTCAGTTGTTCTTTATCGTTTAAGGGAAGGATATGCGTATTTACCCCTTTGTTATTTTGTCCTCCTCCTTCCAAGGGAAACCTTGAAGCCAACTTAGAAGCCAACTTCCTAGATGCATTTCATCAAATAGGTGGTAGGCAATACCTCTAGGATGCACTAAACAACTATCATCTTCATCACTAATTTCTTTCTGGGATGCACTAAACATCTCTGAATCACCCCCTCTAGACCCCAACCTCACTGTTCTTGAGCCTAAATCAAGAAAACTCCATGCTTTAACTGAATTCTCACATGAAGCCCTTGATAGATTTGAAGAAAGACTTCTTCTTGAAGCAAATTTATATGAAATTTCATTAATTTCATTACTTTATGAACTTTCAATTGGGTTTTGAGATGTCATCCCAGAAGCCAATCTAGGATTATCAAGATTGACTTTTACAACAATATTAGATAAAACATAAAGGAAAATCACTTGTAATGAAACGAAAGAAAAACCACTTGCAATGGGATAAGACCTGGGGGTCTCATATTCCTAGTAACTTGTTGACGATGATGGGAGGGAAGCACGGATAATAGAAAAGGTATCCTTTATTTCGACAATGAGGATAGTAGAGATTGTTTTTCAATTGATTTGTATAGTTAAAATTATAAGAATATATGATGATTATATAATCATATTTAAAAAAGTTTTAAAAATCTTTCAATTGAGCGTGTTAATAAAAAAATAATAATAAGTTAAAAACTTTAATTTATCTAATTAAATAGATTTTGATTGAATTTAAATTTTGAATATAAAATTATTTAGATTATCAAACAAACTTTTTATATTAAATACTACAACTTAATTTTTTAAGCTACTTAAATAGGCTATCAAACACATCCTTAATTAAAAAATCTTAAGTTAAAAACTTTTACTTACCTAATTAAGTACATTTTAACTAAATTTAAATTTTAAATATAATATTATTTAGATTATCAAACAAAATAGGTTATTAAACACCTTAGTTTTCGTAAAGAAGGCCATAAGTTTAATTTAATAATGTTACAGTACTATTTTAATATAAAATTTAAATTGTTGGATGAGAGTTCAAAATATAATTTACAGTATTTTTCAATATTTTTCTCTAATAAAAATCTTTTGGATTTAACTTTTTCTCAAATATAAGTTTTTTGAAATGCGAATTGTGCTTAATTTTTTTTAATTAATTAAAAAAGAAAGTGGAGTGTTAGGATTCAAATTCTTAACCATGTTGGTTAACAAAATTTTGATATCATGTGAATAACTATTTTAACTAGAAAATTTAAGTTGGTGAATGAAATCTCATAATATAATTTTTATTATTTTTCTAATAGATAAACTCATGTTAAGATCTGAATTTTCAGGAACAAGCTAGCAGTATGATATCTATTGCTTAATTAATGAACAAACAAACAGCTCAAGATTCCCTCTCTACAACGTTAAATGTATCCCAAATGACAAAAATCACGATCTTCTCTGCTCAATGCACATTCTAGCATGATGAACATGATCATATAGCTTGTTCCATCAATTGGGGTGGCTATAAGATACCCATGTTAATGTGAAAGATGTACTCCATTATATTCTTAATTTGATCAAAGATTAAAAGAAAAATTAAGATTAATTAGTAAGATAATTAGTTCAGCTCATGAAACATTTAATCAAGAAGACAATAATGCTTGTCATGGAGGTCACAATGTTACAGCTTGCAAACGGCATTGGACCCCGAAAAAGAAAGACTTAATTAAGCATGACCTCCATGCTTTTCTTCACTAAAAACAGCAGTGGCAGAAACGTAATATGCAACACAGAATAGCCCATGGACAAAGCACAAAATGCCTCCAATAGAAAAGAAATGATGATGTGTGAAACCACAAGAGGCTCTTGACTTGTTGTTTGACAAAGTGCCAATCACTAGCATGGATAATCCAATAGCAAATATGATCCTGCCCAATTAATTATACATAGAAACATGATTTATATTAATGATTAATACCACTAATTAATTATAGTTAATCTCAGAGAAATTGATTAGTTCAAGCTACATAATCAAAACATGGTTAGCTTATTTACTCAGGTAGGAATCAAGAAAATGTTAATACAACTTTACTTACCAAGAAAAAAGGAAGCATGCCACAGCCAGTTGTCTATTAGGGGAAGCTCTTTGAAGCTCTTCTTGAGAACAGATACACATGCACCCACCTAGCAAGTTAGCAATGACATGAGCTATTCCTAGAATTCCTGCTGCAGCTAACCCGAGCTTGAAGGCATCCTGGCTTGGTTCTTTACACTCAAATATCCAAAGCCTCAGGTGCTTAACCTGTACTAACAAAAATGAAATGGAAATTCTGATTATACATATACAAACTCGAATACTATAAGATATATGCATATTTTTGAACGATAAGTTAAGACACCTTATATATATATAAAAAAAGTGTTTTTATTAAAAGAAGAAAAAAAAAAAAGGAAGGAATCATGCCTTGTTTTGTTCAATTTCTGCTTGGATGCCAAGAATCCCAGCTGCTATATCCATAGCCACAACCAACATACAAAGAAGTATTCCTCCTATTTTAACCATTTTTTTCCCAAACAAGAACACTTGGTGATCAAGATGTTTGACAAGGAAGAGGGGAAATGAAGCACTGCCTCTTCTACCTTCTTGATGCTAAGATTTAGATGAAGAGAAAGAGGATATGAACAAAGTTTAAGAAAGAATATATAAAGAGTGCTAAAGTAAGAAGAAAATGTGATTAGCTGGGATAAGTTAGCAAAAGCTTCTTTTGTCCAAACAGCGGAAACTTTATTTACTTTCTGTATACTTTCACTTCCTTTTCTTTGTCCCTTTGGATTCCTTTGATGGGGGAGCAAGAAAAGAAGGGTATAAACCAGCTCATAGAGGAGCGCGCCTAGGCATCTAGCAAGCAATGGCCCAGCAATCTTTGTGATTTTTGACTTTATAAGCATTTCTCGCAAGCAGGCAACAATTACGAACTTTATGTTACCTACTTATTTTATCCAAATCGATAAATAATTGCCCCCATTATCTCCATGCTTAAGGATTTAAAGTTATTATCTTGTGCTCAAATTTAAAGAGAACTTATGAGAAAGAAACTCTTGTACTGATTATATCTGTTTAGGTTTAAATAGATTTGTTTATCTGTTCAATAGAAGGAGGGGAAAAAAAAAAAGTGATTGGGAGACAGATTTGGTCTCATCCTCGTTCTTTTACTCTTTTTGAAGGGAATGTCATTTGCTATTGTAAAAGTCTTAAAGAGAGAGAGGAAGCAAATTCCGGAACAAAGTTGGGTGCATATTTCAAGCTACGAGAGGTCTAGTGGACCCTCAAGTACTAAAGAAATAATGCATAAAAAGACTACAAGAGCGAGCTCAAAACGGTGGATCTGTAGTTGTCTGCACCCCATTGTCAAACCTTGTCTCTGTGGTTATCTGCAACTTTTATGACTAGCTAGCAAAAGCGACCTCATTTTCATACCTCAATCCCTAAAATAACTATACTCGTGTTAAAATCAATGGTTGCCGTAATTAATAAATAAAGGAATAAATGAAGTGGGGCATACCTAAGTTTTTGGGTTGGACGAAAGCGATATCAGAAACAAGAAAGCTTTATTGGATTATATGATAATGGGCTGAATTAACCTTTACTTTTATTTGAACCAAGTAAGGAGGAAAAGGCCATATCTGAATTGGGCAGCTTAGAAGATGCAACTAGTCCAATAGCCCATCATCCTTTACAATTTGGGTCTGGCATATATTAGAGACAAGGTCGAACGACGACAAGAAAAGATGGTTTTCTGTCATCTGTGTTTTTGCATGCTATGCTAACCAAGTTGATAACAACCACTGAGCATTAACCCCCTTTTGCCTTCATTTTACGATAGCTACCTACGCACACATTCAACTTTTTCTTAAGCTCAAAGGAACCTAACACTGAAACACTCGCAAATAAACACATTGGCATCACAAGACAACATTATCAGAAACATCATCTTCTGTTTTAGACTCTATATATACAACATGAAACAAAAGCAAGTAACAACACCAAGAGCTGCATGATTCACTATCAACATAAAAAAAAATTCACACATTTTTTGGTGTTCTGTTTGTCAACCAAACAACCAAAGCTCATGTCACTTCTAGCAAAACAAAAAGAAATCAAACAAAAAGCCATACTCTTTTGTTAAAACCAGGTATATTCATATCCCTAGCTATTTTCCATTCAAAACAGGACAGAACATAACATAATTAAACTTAAACTAAACAAAACTAAAACCATCCGTGGAAGGGAAGAAATCCCAGTTTCAGGCCCTAAAAGAGATTAGAAGATATTAGTAACTAATTATTCCTCAAAAAAACAAGACTTCACATACCTTTTCGTTTTACCCTGTACCAAAAAAAAAAAAAAAAACTTCCACGCGCCGCCAAAATCACAACTTTAACTTGGACAACCCACAAAGTTTTGACCCACATTAGCCTTCAAAACCATCTCCATTATCTGCTCCCTGCTTAAGGCAGCCTCCCCATAACCACCCCCACCGACATTAGCTCCACGAACAAAGTTATAATGATCATTAGAGCAAGGACAGTAGTGATTATGATGATCTAAAGAAGTGGCAGGCCTTGACTGTACTGAAGCTCTAAGCTGTTCTTGTAAGATCATGATGTACTTAAAAGCCTCGTCAAGTACAGTAGCAGTGTCCATCTTTGTAGTAATCCATGGCATCAGTTTTCTTAAACATTTCACCCTCTCGTTGATTCTCTGTCGTGTAAGAAGCGAAGCTGATGAAGACCCAGTACCGGAATCAAAAGCAGACCGCTTTGGTTTCTTCGTCTGGGCCGACCTTTTCGGTTTCTTAGAAACAACCTTGAAGTTTCCAATAATCGACTCTAGAGTCTGCGGGTCATTCAAAACAGACCGAGTTGTTGTTATTGACTCGTCCGGGACCGAGGAGAAAAAGTCATACGGTTGACTCGACTCAACCGGCGGAGCCGGGGCAGGGGAGAAGAAATCATAGGGTTGAGTTGACTCGAGAGGTGGACTGAGTTGAGGGGGACGACGACAGAGTGGCCAAAACCGAGCTGTTCTGAGGCGGGAAGGGTGTAATAGTAATTACCGTCTTCGCTAAAGATGTTAGTGAAGTTTGACGCCTGAGGAGGAGCGGGCATCGTTAAGGGATTGTTGTTACAGTAACTAAGAAGTGACGGAGTTAACATGTCTCCGTCAGAGAAAACAGAGTTGAAAGTCAGTGTTGACGTGGCCGGAGTTCTGTCAGAGAAAGCAGAGGAGTTAAACGTGGTGGTACGGTCCGCTTTGTTCTGTCCGGAGATTAACGGGAATAATGAGATTGATGGATCCCCATTTAAAACAAAGCTCGAATCCAAATCTTCGGCCTCCATTTCAAAAACCAAAGCTATACCGAATATGTAACCAAAGAAAAGCAACCACACGAGAAGTGAAAAGGAGACTAGAAGAAACAGAAACCAGAGAGCCGATATTACTGTTACTGTTACTCTGCGTGGTGGTGTGTATTTAAGGGGGGTGGAGGGAACACGTGTTTATAGTTCATTGGGATCGTACACGGGCATGTAGGCGGTGGCCATGCAGGAATCAAGGATGATACGGGGGTGTTCGTACATTTGTGTGTCAGTAGAGGGAGAACTCGAATTTCAAAAATGGGTGATTTTTTGTTTTTGTGAGGTTGATCAGACGGTTGAGAACGAGTGAAGAGATGAACAGATTTGATGAAAGGGAAAGCAGACAAAAACAGTTGACATGGAGGATGATGTTGGGCGTGAGTGTTACATAGGTGTCAGGCCGCCAGGGTAGATGGTACAGTAGAATTACGTGGCATGGCAGGAGTCTCTGAGCTTTTTTTTATCTGTTTATGCTAATTTGTTCCCTTCATACATAGGAAAGATAGGGTAAAATTGAAAGGAAATTTTCTATTTCATTTTTTCTTTACTTGAACAAGGAAATATGCTTTACTACCAAATAATGAATTACCAAATTACAATAAGGAAAAAATGAAAAAGAAAACAAAAACTGTACAGAAGAATGAGGAGAAAGCAGCAGAGAGAAGGATGATGTTTGGAATGATGACCAACAACTCCCACACTAAAAGGGGCAGGCAGCTGTGAACTAAAATGAAAAGAAATCATTCCAGAACACTTGACAAGCTGTTGTTGCCTAGTTAAAAATTCCCCCCACCCTGCAGCTTACCCAACCAAATCTGGGGAGAAGTTCATCGATCCCACATCGCTTGATATACTGTAGGTCTGTGCTTCAGCCAATGTAACATTTCTCTGTCTAGTGGGGAATTCTTCAATACAGCATCTAGCATTGGGCTGCCAAAAACTTTTGGAGAACTCTTGAATGACCATATTTGGTCCTTGGGCCACGCTTTCTGCGGGTACTTCTCCTGTGAATACCACATCAACAGATTAAGACACCATACGCTAATCACACTACAAAAATAAGATATTGATTCAGAATTATCATCAGCCAGTTTCAAATATTATAGGTCTCTTAGGATACCCAAGTTTCTCGACTGAAAAAATAAGGACAATTCAGACCTGAGTTCAGCATAATCTGTCAAAATATAGTTTTGCTGAACTGAATCTAGGTAATTGGTAACTTTGGTTAATAGAAGTCATTTTTAAACCAAAGGTATCTTGTATTCAGCCTGAAACCTTCTCAAACCTAAACATGAAGACACTAGTCTATCATCTCCAGAGTAAAGGATAAATCTAAGCAGGTTCAGTTAAAGCAAGGATGGGGTAAAAACAAACATCTTCTGGTGCAAAGATATCAAACAACTCGCAGAATATGATCGTAATGAAACTTACCATTCTTTCCAACATCATTTTCACAGTCTTTGGGCCATAAATGCGCTGCTGCGATGGCTTCTGGACCTTCGCGTAGAATGAACCAATTTCAGGCAAAGACAAGCAGCCCTTACTAGCTTTAGCAAGGGTAGAATCAGGCTCGGTGTTAGTCTGGATATGCCAAAATATCAACTGCCCCATACAATAGTTCCCACCATAGGTCTTTTGATACTTGTGGGGAAGACCCCCTAACCTATCAGCACACTTGGGGCCTAAGTCAAGTGGACTAATGAGAACTGGTGGAGAAGTAAATGCTTCATATTCCTGAAGGAAATTAATAGTGTTACTTGAAAAATTGAAGGAAGAGCACACAATGGTGCCAGCAGTAGTAGTTCAAGGCAAAGAATATATACATAACCAGTTAAAGGAGACTGGTTGGAGAAACACTTACCCTAATTCTAAAGAAGCTCTTTGTGTAAGCATAAACATGGATTAAGTCAGCTGCAGCATCATGCCGGCACTTGTATGTACATGGAAGACTGCGGACCTCATCCCTCAACCTTCAAAAAGAAAAACAATTTCAATAAAAGTTGCCTTTTTTCCCCCAAGAAATCAACATGAAAAAAGAGAAGCAATATAAGCTGCTGCTCACCATAATAAAGATTTCTGAAGCGCTTTTTGAATGTCATCAGAATCTGATGGATCATGTACACAAATCTTGGACTTGAGGTCATT